GAGGAAGGTGCTCCACAGAAGGATCTCTGAGAGATCTTGTTGGTTTTAGAGGCCCAGAGGTTCTGAGGTGGTTGGAGGAAGCAGCCTCCATGTAAATGATCCACCTCCTGTCCTGACTCCACTGTAGGGAACCCTCTGTAGTTCATGTTGGGCCAAAGGCCAACAGTTGCCTCCCCCAGAGAGCTCGTCCTAAAGTGTTGGCTGTGGGTGAGTGTAGCCTCCACTCTGGATGCCTGCCTCAAAGCACAGAGCAGTCCCAGTCAACAGTCCTTCAGTGCTAACCCTAAGGGGAACAGACAGACCCACACTGATTTGTCCTGTTGGCGTCAGAGGACTGAGTTGTGGGGTGCACAGGGGCCAGGCACTGTAGGCCTTCGGTAGCAATTCACAGTAAGCTTGCAACAAGCAGTGTCTGGGTAAGAGAAGTGCTGGTAGACTCCAAACAGACCCCAGAGGGGGTTTACTTTGCTTCTTTTAGGACAAAAACTGTCCTCTTTCTTCGTACAGGCTCCTTTTCTGGGGCCAAACATCCCAGTTCACAGCAGCTGGTGGCTTAGGAAGGGACAAGAAGAAGCCATTTTCCTACCTTATGTGACTCGCTGATTTGTGGATCCCTGCAGTTCCTCAGCACTGCTTTCTGCTGCTTCACTTTGCTCCCTCAGAGCCCATCACAGTTTCCTTGTTGTATCTGGGGGGAGAATTGGAATGATCGCTTGTTTACACAACCATCTTCCCAGAACTCCTCTAATTTTCCTCCCTCAAATGTCCTAACTTGAACAAATGAAAAGCCAGCATACCTGTGCCAACCCTCAAAAATGTATTACAAAATTCTACTAGATCAGGAAATCCAAAAGGCTAGGAATTATTGACTTAGCTCACTTAAGATTAAAGAGCTGACTGACCTCTGCCTTGTGGGAAGCCAGAGATTCAGCCCGGCTCTGGCTCTAGCGCAGTCGCAGTGTGTGACCTTCAGCTGGTGCACTTAGGTGGGTTTCAGGCTTGCCGATCCAAATATGGGATCACTTGTCTCTTGCCCAACCTTCCCCTGAGTGTGTTCTAAGGAGAAAATCTTCTAAGGAGTTTTGAAGGTGCTCTAGTAGTGCAGTGGTTCAATCAGTGAGCTGCTAACCGAAACTTCGGTGTTTTTTACACACCAGACACTCCATAGGAGAAATATGCAGTAGTCTGCTCCAGCAAAGATTTATGAAGATTTCGGAAACCTTTACGGGTGGTTGTACTCTCCTACAGAGTCACTATTAGTTGGAATTGACTTGATGGTATGTATGAGTTTGCTTTGGGTTAAAGAGCTTTGGGGAAAGAGCTCTATAAATATATGAGATTGCTGTTCCTGAAGACAGCTGGTGTGTTTGCAGTGGGAAGGGCTGAATGATCCTGCAGAGACTCAGGACAATTTCTCTGCCTGGGCATCTGGGGAAAATGACCAGTACCACTCATAAAACGTGCAAACTGTTCTCCTGGCAAGCAGGGCCAGATGGCAGAAGCAATGGGCCTCGGAGGAGTTTCATTTTCCTCCCTTGGAGGGCACAGGTCCAAGACACAACTGGAATTCTGGAACCTCAAGTTCTAGTTCTTCTATCAGAGGCCTAGTGCAGGTCACCTGATTTTCTCTCAGTTTTATTTTTTCCTTCTCTGAAAGGGACAGGTCAATTGGTTCTGTTCTTTTTTATCAGGCTATTGTTACAGGACTGTGGAAAAATATATAATCCATTCCTAAACACACTACTTTCTAGATTAATGTTTTGCCTTCACATAAATTCCTGGTGACTCGACATATCTGAGTAAGACTCCATAAGGCTTTCTTGCCTTAACCTTTACAGAAGCACACTGCCAGGCTTCTCTTGCAAAGTACCACTGGGGGGGGGGGCGGGTTGAACGGCTAACCTTTAGATTCATGCCACCTCGGGACATACTTTATAGATCGTCCACAGTTTAACACCTGGAACTTTCTTTTTTTTTTTAATGCATATATTGTTGTTATGTGCCGTCGAGTCGTTTCCGACTCATAGCGACCCTATGCACAACAGCCCTAAACCCTGCTCTATCCTGCGCCAACCGCACTGCCTCTGACACACCCATCCCGATTACCCCAGTCACCGAATCAATCCATCTCATAGAGGGGCTTCCCCTCCTGCGCCATCAAAAATTCTTTTGTTACTATTAATTTCAATGAACATCTACAGAGATTTTGGAATTCCATTCATTCATTGTTGCACTTTTCTCCCCACCCACCCCACCCCTACCCCCAGTTAGTGCCTTTCCTTGACAAGCAAAAGACAAACTCCTTCATTGGTACACAATCCCCTCCCACACCCCGCACATCCCCACTCCTGCCCCAAGTATACTCCACTCTGCAACCCCTCATTCCGGACTCTTATGATAATCATAATGCCCTAAAATATATTAATTTTAAACTATTTTCTCCCTCATCGGCTTCAGTGCAGTAAACATAATTTATCCAGTTTTTCTCAGTCTTACCCCCACCCCAATGTCAGCCTCATTCTACAACAGTGGCACCATATAATATTTGTCCTTTTGTGACTGAGGTATTTCACTTAATTCTTTCTTAAACAATGTAAAATTTGTGCCTTTCAATGTTTAATGCCAAGATTGCCTTTCTTTTGTCCCCTAAATCACATTTGTGGGTCATTTCCTTTTCACTAGGCTGAGGCGTTAAGGAAATGCGTGATCACTTTACCATCTGCCTGAGCATGGACATTGAAGGAGGTAGACCCAAAGCTTTGGCCAAAGTTGACAGAAGTACAATAGGCCCCAAACCGAAGTGTTTGGGGAAATGTGTGTGCTGGTTCACTCCCTTCCGTACATAGTTGAGAATTAACTGCAGATGGAAGTCCTTTGATCTTTAGAAACCTGAAACATCGGGCTGCCCAGGGTTAGCTGATGAACCACATTTTGTTTGAACGTGTCTGGTATTTTAGTTATCAACCCAATTATAACTTAACAGTATTACAACTCTAGAAACATTGGGCATTTTCAGTTCCCATGATCCTGCAGTACAGTATGCTACCCTGAATAAACTGTCCACCTACATTTTCCAGTATCTTCACAAGGACATTTTGTTTGCTGCCCACATGAATTGACCTGAGGCAGGATCATGGGCTGAAAGAGGTAAGAGCTAGCCAGTTAAAATTCCCATTTTCCACTTGGCAACAAAGTTAAAGCTCCATTTTCTCTTACTTTCATCTTCCTACACTCTCAAGCTCAAGCTTCGCCTTGTCTGGACATCTCCCCTCTAAACTCCCTAAACTCTATAATCACCCTCCCTAAACTCCTAGCTACAAAGATTTGCCTGCCTCCCTGTTAGACTCTGCATCCCCTCAAGGGCTGGTCTCACTCAACCTTGAACTCTCAGCATGTACACAGAGGAAGGAAATGCAGGTGAATGAACAGGTGACTCAATGAATCAATCTATCAGAACTGAACTCCCAGCCCACCATGGCCAAGACGTGCCAGCTTTATGAGCTGTTTCTCTAGTATCAGGTGAGTGAACTTAACTGTTAAAAGCTTATCTCACTTGTGATGACTAGTATTAGGCATATTTAAGCCAGCTAGTTTGGGATGACAGGGGTTAGGGATGGGAGAATTGGTCTGATAGGTGGAGAAATTGCTTCCTGTCAGAAAAACAGGCCCAAATAAGGAATGCTCATCAGCCAGCCCTCTTTTGTGAACATGGCCCTAAGCACCTAACAAATACATTGTGGACAATGATCAGCCCCAACAGAGAAGAAAGTTAATTTATGCAGCCTTCAGGCTGGGGGGTAAAAAAAGGAATGGGGAAGGGGTGGAGAAAGGAAGGATGCTCAGACAGATGTATTTAAAAATCTCTTCTCTCAAGGAGGAGTTCAAAATGAGAGGAGGCCTTTAGGGGCAAAGCTGCAGCGACACTGGAGGCCCCAGGAGAGCGAGATGAGTGCAAGTGAGGCAGGGCTTGAAAGGCTTGGTGGGGGGTGCGAGGCAGGCGCTCAGGAAGGAGGCTGGGCTCCCATCTGGAGAGCTAAGGGGCTGGGGCTGCTGAACAGATGGAGTGAAAGTTGCAGCTGGTGGAAATGCACTTTCATGTGTAAAGTTTGATCCTTGGAGGATTGTAATCTCCAACTCTGAAAGCAGCAGTGGGCGGGTGGCTGTGCTCCATGCTCCGCCTTCTCCCCCTATTGCCACCCAAAAACTCGCCAGGGGCTCTGGGCCAGGACTCAGCCACCATGCATCCTTCCAGCAACCCTTTCAACAGGCAGAAGCTGGCAGAGCAACACCTTGGCACAGTCAGGATGGCAGAGGACTGTGATGCTTTAGCAGCTGAAGGGGGCAGGGGAATAGGAAGGATTAGTCCAGCCTCCCCAACAAAAACAAGGTGGACTGGCAACAGAAATGGAGGGAGTCAGGAAAAGTACATTCCCAGGTCTTCCAAAGCTCTTCTAAATAGAAGCTAGAGCTGCAGCTGAACCTGAGGTGGAGATGGCAGGAGGTGTGAAAACACAGCTGACTCTGAGGCTCACGGTTCATTTTCTTGAGGAAAGAATATACCTTTCTTTAGCTTTTTAAACTCACCTACTAGAGTTTTAAGAGATAAAGGGATTTTTATCTTCTATGGCTCTAACAGCTGCTACATGTCCTCGCACATTTTGTCCCTCACCACCCACTGGCACACAGGCCATGACCACAGCTGTAAATGAAAGTTCCTCCTTTAAAATGTCCATGTTCGTGGAGAATGATGCACATTAACCACTGAGAAAAGCAGCTTGGGTAAGTGGACACTATTTCAGCACAACTGTGCTCTAGGTCATCAGGAACAGGAACCACCAATTCTGTCCTGTTAAAACACAAGGGTGGGCTTTTTTTTTTTAAATAATATGATTTTATTTTTCTTTTTTTAAAAAAAGCTGGACAAGTCCCTTGTCCTGATTGAGTCCATTTCCCCAAGAGATAAGTTAAATATTTCTGGAGTGGAGGTAGTGTCCCCCTTCCTAGTGGGACGTCTTCTTGGCTCCTTTCCCAAACTTGGCATCAAGACCGAGACCTATAGAAAGAGGAAATGAGGTCAGCTTTAGAGGGAGAAATGAAACCCACCGATGATGAGGGATGGGGGAAGTTATCTTGGGCTTCTCCAAAATTGAAGCTTTAATATTAATTAACTTCAGAACACTGGTTCTATGTAACTTTCTTAGAGGAAATGGAACAGAATCAAGTAGGAAGACCCCCTAAAAATACAAAGTATCCCACCCAATACTGGCAATTATTTATATATAACTAAAATATTTTCTGCCCCTCAAAGCACAAGTCTTTTTGTTGTTGTTGTTGTTGTGTACCATCAAATTGGATCCAACTGGCACAGGAGCAGATTGTACCTCCTTCTCCAGGGAAGCACCTGGTGGATTTGAACTGCATGCCTTTGGGATAGCAGCGCAGCTTCTTGCCACTAGGCCACCAGAGCTCCCTCAATTATATATGTATTTTGAAAAGGTAACTATATAAACTTCCTAGACTTTCAACCAAATGGGAAAGTCTGAAGGTCACCTCACTGCCCCAGTGTGTGGCGGAGGCCTGCTCTGGAGGGAACCTACCCAGGAACACCAGCACGGTGCCCACCCACTGCATGGAGCTGATGGGGTTGGCAAAGAGGATCACAGAAGCTAAAATGGTAAAGAACTTTCGAGTTGTAGTGATGATGGAGCAGGTCAGGGGACCAAAGTACACAACTGTCATGAAGATAAAACTCTGGAGAGAGAAAAACGGGGGATTAGGCTGCTTCTCCACTGGCTGTCAGCAACAGAGCATCAGGGCAAATCTTCCCATCTCCCTTCTCCCAACCAGGTTGAGTTGTCTCAGGAAAACCAACTACCACAGTGGGAAAGCCAGGCCATCTCCCATCAAGGCACTCACTTGACCCAGGGCACTGGTCAGGCCGAAGAGCAGGATATTATAGATGATGGCAGGGTACCTCTCAGCAAAGCTCAAGAACTCCCAGAGCTCCCCAGTGAACAGGATTCCTATAGAAGAAAAGTCCAAAGATGAATACCACATCTTATTTGCTCAGCTCGAACATATACCTGCAGTCAGGTCACTCTGAAAGAGGGCTGAATGTGTAGAAGTATAAGGCTTGAGTCCACACAGTCCCATCATGCATGCTTCTCCTGCATTTTTCTCATGACAGTAACTAACAAAAGACTCGACTTTATAAGAAACACTTAAAAGTTATGTGTTACAAAAATAGCACAGCACCATGGCAGAGCTGTTGTGCAGATGCCATTTGTGCTTCCCCAGCTCCAGCCAACCCCTGGTCACCTCCAATCATGAGCAACCTCCTCCATTTAACCCCCAAGGCTGCACAAAAAACCCTTTCTACACGTGACAACATTTGAAAAAGATTCCAAAGTACTAATTTAAAAACAAATGCATTTATATTTGAGCTACATTCAGCAAACAGTGAAGTCTGTTTCCTGTGAACAACAAGCCAGTCCCCAGAGGGTAAGCTTCCAAGGTGCTCCCTGTGCTTTGCTCCTTGTATCCTCTAATATCATCAAGCAGAGGACTGCACTTTGGTGGTGACAGCAGGAAACAAGCAGATCTCATTGGTGAAAATTTCTCCAGAACTCAAGGGCCTGGACATAAGGCATCTTGGAACTGAGGCAGGCCCCTGAACTGGGTAAAGTTGGCAAATGGCAGTGGAGCCAGTTAGGAACAAAAGGACAAGGGTAGTCTGCCCTCTGGTGACACATGGGAAAAACAGCAGCACTGTTCCTTACCAGCTCCGAGCAGCAATGTCGACCAAAGGTTGATGTTCAACATCATGTGGTTGGAGCCTGTTTGGTAATGAGCCCGCATATGATCCTGGGAAACACCTGTTAGTCCATCCAATGTCAGAGACAAGAGCTGAAAAGAAAGGGTGCAGCCTGCAGAGAGGGACCACTAGGGTCCCTCCCTAACCCATCATCTTCCCTCTCAGGCTCCTCAAAAAGCCAAGGCCTTAAGAAAGAGTCCTCAGTACAACAGAATACCATTTGGCTAGTGGTGGGGGGTAGGGGTGACACTGGAATGAGAGGCTACATGAGTCATACGTTTATAGTACAATCATAGAGGGGTAGGAAGCCTCTGCTTCCCAATAAAATGTTTGAGAGCCCGGCGTGCAGTAGTCTAAAATAGGCTGTGGTGAGTCATACATATTCTTCAGTCTAGTCCTACCAGGTCAGCCTTTTGGCTTGGAGTAGTGTTCCCCAGGCCAGATTCTGAGGTCAAACTGCCTAGATTGGAATCCTTACTCTGCCACGTAATAGCCATGTGACTGTGGGCTAGTAACTCAAACTGTGTGTCTCAGCTTCGTCTCTAAAACGGGCACAGTAACACAAAAAAAAAATACAAAAAACAAACAAACAAAAAAAAAACGGGCACAGTAATACCTACATTCTAAAGCTATTGAAAACCTTAAAAGTTTTACTTGGAACAGTGCCTAACATATAGTAACCATTTTATTATGTTTAACGACAGCTTCCAGGTTTCTAGAAATGCGACAGTGGGAGACACAGTGCCTTATTTCTCTTTGTTCTCAAGTCTCACATAGTGACCACATACCAGGATTTAAACATAAGGCTCGGGGTCTTATTTTCCCCAGAAGCAGTAACAAAGTATTTCAGGATCCCCTTTGGCAAAACCAGGAAGCCTATCATAAGACACAAAGATCAGAAATAGCGGCATCTCCTTGAAACCATATAACTGACTTTCTGACTGCCCAGGTAGAGATAGCTGTCAGAAAATTTTGCTGGAAAAGTCTGCTGGCCCTGTTAGGATCACATACCAGGAGCAGCTCTCCATAGCCAATTGTGTGTTCTTCCATTCCAACTACCTTCTTGGGTTTGTACATGAAAAGGGCCACTCCAGCGACAATTAGCAACACACATAAGTACTTGGCTAGTGGGTACTTCTTCTTCAAGAGGGTCACCCCAAGGAGCATGACTACAGGAAAGAAACAGAGTGAGAAATCCAGGCACCTACAGGTGACTATCCATGAGGCACTATCTTCCACAAGCCAAAAGGAGACTCATGGAAGAAAATAATGCCCAAAACAGGAAGCCTAGAGTACAAAAGGTTAGGCTGGCACCTACATAGATTGTGCAACAGGCTGAGCAAAGAATGTGTGACAGAGAAAAGTAGAGAACAAAGGTGAAAAGTCCAGCAAGGAGCAGGATAAGAGTAAGGAGTGGTGGGGAAAAGAGCGGTTGAGAGAAAGCAGCAAAAGGTCAGGGTGTCTAACGCAGTGTACCAGGAGCCCCGGTGGCACAGTGTGTTGGGCTGCTAACCAAAAAGTCAGCTGTTCTTTCTGAATACTAATAAAAGCAAAGGTTTTGGAGTTCCTCTGAAAAAAAAAAAAAAAGTCAGCTGTTCAAATCCACCAGCTGCTGTACAGAAGAAAGATGGGCACTCTCTTCTTGGTTGCCATGAGTCAATGAACTGACCCAAGGACAGTAGGTTTAATATTTTAATGCAATGTAACCTCATGAAGACACAGAAAAAACTGATCATTTGAAGCAGATTAGGTCAACCTTAAGCTCCCATTAAAGAGTAAAAGCCTATTAACACTTTACAAGGTAAGTGATATATTTGACAGTACTGGGAAAGGGGGGAGGAGGAGGAGTCCTGATGAGATGAAGCCCAGAGGGAGGCACAGCTTTAACAGAAGAGGAGAGCGTTTGCTATGGAAAGAGTGAGGACAGTGAAGATGGGATCGTCTTCTGCTTACCTGGAATTGGCTTGCAGGATTTACCAAGGACCTGAAATTAAATTCAGAAATAATTTCTGAGCAACTGTGATGTGCCAGGTAGTGTGCTAAGTGCTGGAGTGAGGAAGATGAGTAAATGCGGGCGCTGTACTGGAGACCTCAGCTTAGGAAAGCAATGTTAGTACAGCCTAACCCACCATTACTAGATCCCCGCTCTACGATTCTACACTCTCAATTTCTCAAACACGCTCTTCTAGAGCTGTTCTCTTTGAAAAGAAGTCACCGACCTGTGGGAAGAAGTCTTGGTGCTTTTCAAACAACTTTTGAGCCAACCTTCATCCCACCCTGAGCTTCACCTGAGTTGGGTAGTTGACAAACTGTAATGCTGAGTTGCTGGAGACCATGGCACCCAGATAGGAGACAGAACAGGCAGCATAGAGCCAGCTCCGGGTACGATCCACCCTGGCAGTGTCAAAAAACTGGATCACTGGGAGAAAAACAAGAAAACATACAAGAGAAGCCTGGTGGAGCTAGGATGCACCAGTGAGCAAAAGATGAAGACACAGGAAAGGAAGCTTATTTTCCCAGTAAGATAAGAAACTCCCAAACAGCACAGGCTATTGCAGTCCACTTAGACTGGGAAATCAATCTCTGAAGATTATTTAACTCTTGAATCCCACTCAAACCTGGGGTAGCTGAGTAGGGAGTCAGTCATTCATTCCAAAGGGCTAACCAGCCCTGCCTCAGGGAGCGAAAAGAGAAACGCAAAAACATAAAGAAAAAGCCAAAGGGTTAAAAAAAAAAAGTTTACATATTCTCAACGGGGATCTGGGACACAAAAGACCCATTCTATGCATATTTTTTACTCAGAAGTTAGTCTAATTTAAGGAATATACTGCTTTACTCCATCTCAAAGCCATGAGTTTAATAAACTACAGAGAGGCGGGGTGAGCACTAAAATGGTGCTACATCCTAAGGCTGAATCATCACATCGCCTACTGCCCAGGGTGGAGGGGAGCAGGGCACACACACATCAGGACCCATCTAAGTACTCACAGATCTTGGCAAATACAGCATTGATCACACACTGGATGAAGACTAAAGTTAAGGCAAAGGTGAATGTCTCTTGCTTGGGTCCCTCTCCATACTTTCCTCTTGTTCTAATAAAACAAAGGAGGAATAAAATAAAACTAAGGAATTAATATCTTTCCTTCACTGTAATTTAGTAAATCCAGAGCTTTGAATATATCTTTCTGGATGGAAGAGTTAAGGATCATTCTTTTCACCAATAAATGGTGCCTATTTTTATTTAATCTAAAAACTACACAAGATGCCTAGTAGTGGCCTAGTGGTTAGGACATTGTGCTGCCAACCCAAAGGCATGCTGTTCCAATCCCTTGATGGCTCTGTTGAGAAAAGTGGGCAATCTCCTCCCATGTGATTTACAGTCACTGAAAACCCACTGGAGGGTCAGCTTTTTTTTTTTTTTTTTTTTTAGCTTTTTTAAAGTTATAAATTAGACATCCCACGGTCTGATTCTCTAGCCTGTTATTGTTGTTAGGTGCCATCAAGTAGGAATCACTCAAAGCTGACCCTCTAGCGGGTTCTCAGAGACAGTAAACCTCACATGAGAAGACTGCCAATCCCACGGAGCAGCAGGTGTATTCGAACCTTCTGGACGGTCAACACAACTCCTTACCACTAAGCCACCAGAGCTCCCTGTCCCCTAACTTAGAAATATAAATGTCCATGATGAATAGTGATAGACAAACGTGGACAATTTTACGGTGAAACCAGGAACCCAAGTGAAGACAGCAAGACCGAGGAAGGAATAATCAAATATACAAGCAGTTGGAGCTTACAAAAAGAAACTGGCCTAGATCACAGACTCTCTGGATGTAGAAATAAGTCTGTGAAATCTAGGTTCTTAACGCCTAACCGGTTTGGGGGTGGGGACGGCAAGGGAAGAGAAAGAAAGCAGGTCTTGAGAATCCAGAGACCAATCCTCACGTTCTGGAATTCCCGGACGGCTCAGTCCAGGCTGCAGAAGCAGCGGGCTACTAAGGGCTGACAAGCAGGAAAGCCTAAAGTCCGGGGCTAGAAGCCTGTGAATGGGGCCCACAGGCTGGAGAGGGGGCGACGGGATTGGGATGAGAGGGCTGTCTTTTAACCCCGGGGATCTGCTCACATCTTTTCCTGCAGTATCCCATAATAGAAATAGCAGACAAAGACGCCCAGGAAGCAGAGCGGCAGGCGCAGCCGGTCGGGCACCAAGGAGCTGCTAGCGGCCATGAGACGCCCGGACGAGCCGACTGGAGCTCCGCTTATAGCCGGCAGCGGCGGCAGCGACAGCTCCAGTCGGACATCGCCGACCGGCGGCAAGGGCCTCATAGAAGCTGCATGCGACTGGCACATCACAAGGCCCAGAAGCTGCCGCCAGAACTGCCTGATCACGGTGGCCAAAAAAGTAACTCCTTGTGACCCAGGAGCGTCTTTCAAGGAAAGGAGATCTTCCCTGAGGCTTTGGCCTCATCTCCCGTTTCCTGAGGAATCCATTTCCAAGAGGTTAATGGTTCGCCCTCTAATTTTTCCAATCAGGCAACTACGAGGACAGCTGCGAACCAAGTCCCATGGGGTGGCCCAGGAGGAGGCCGGGCGTGGAGTGATGACGTATAGAGATAGATGTGGAGGTCGCCAATTGGCGACGTTGGGTGAAGGCATACAGGTGGGCGGAGAGGAGGAGGTACAGCTGGCAGAGCAAATTAGAGGATTTTTCTGTGCCTATGATCAGCCTTCTGCTGGGCCTTAAAACTCCAAGACACAAACTATACTAATGGTCCCTCAACGCCCTCTAGCTGCTGCCCAGCGTCAGCGACTCTAGCACTTCAACTACCTGTAAGAAGAGCTCGAGTTCAAGGTTTTGGGAACCGTTCCTCCTTCCCGGACACATCTCTGGGTTCCCAAGGAGCAGACCAGTTCAGCGACCCTCCGCTAGATTAGGGCTCTGCCACTTAAAAGCAGGGTAATCTCCACGTGCCCTTCTCTTCTGAGCCACAGTTTCTCTATCGTATAAGCTAGAAATCGTTGTACCAGAGTCGGACCGACCCTCCAGCGGTTTTTCAGACGCAGTTAAATCACATGGGAGGAGGCTGCTCATCCTTCTCCTTCGAACCGCGTGCCTTTGAGATTGCACCGCAGCCTCTTGCCACTAGGCCACCAGAGTTCCCAGGAATCATTAGTAATAGCTATTCTGGCTGCCCTTTCACTTTTAGGATCAAATGAGCTGAGGTTTGTGAAAGTGTTTTAGAAACTGTAAAGTGTCAGTTGAAGGTATAATTTAGTCATTGCTATTTCTCAGCTCTGATTTTATTTCCTCACATCCTCGAGGTGGAAATGGCAGCTTATTGAAGCGAATTCTCTCTCAAGGTCTTACAAACGTGAATTCACAAAGGTAGCTGGTTGTCTGTCAGCTTCTTCCCAGATGTAATGAGGTCTTTGTTGGATACCGTCCTCATCCAAGTGTTGTGTCTCCACCTACCGGCATTGAGCTGGAACGCAGCTGACCTCAGGCCACTAATACTCGCCCCGAAAATCCCTCTACTCCCTCTCACAGCTGACCCCCCAGCATGTTTTCAGAAGCAGTAAATCGCAGGGCAGAAGATTGTCAGTACGTCTCCCAAGGAGCTGCTGGTGGATTTGAACCACGTGACTTTGGGATTGTAGCTCAGCTTAACTCTAGGTCATGAGAGTTCCTTACCCCTTAATAATTGGCCCAAATAAAACCAAGCCACTTGGCTGAGTAGAGGTTCGCTCCCTTTTAGGAGCTGGTTCCCTTGGCGTAGTCTCCGGCAAAGGAAGGAAACAGTGGACAGCACCACACCCATCACTCTAGGCCTGAATCACTAAGGCTTTGGGGGCAAGCCAGACTTCTGTTTCACCGGAAAGGGAAAGAGTTGGAAGATAGATAGGCCTGCCCTCATTCCACTGGCTCCTTTATACTTACGGGGGAGATCTCCATGTTTGCTCTCATTCAGTGATTTACTTCACCGAATCAGCCTGATTCCAACACACTGAGCAGCAGCGCACTGAGCAGCAGCGGGCTGAAGGGCAGACACCTGCTGTATTTTCATGCAAATACGTGCACTTTGTGTGTCCAGACTGCACAACCCCCATGCATTATGTTCCTCTGTGCATTACAGATGTGTTACATGTTATAAATGAAAATACAGTAGTTTAACAAATATTATGGGCAAAGAGGGGAGTGTTGTAGTTAAATGCATGAACACTTGATTAAAATTATCTGGTTCCCAGTCCCAGCTCCTCCATTTCATATGCGTGTCTCCTGGAGAAAGTTATTCAGTCTTTCTGCTCTTCGGGACATATCACGTTTCTTTCACTGGGCCATTGTGATATTTCAGTAACGTTTTAGATGCAAAACACTCATCACAGCCTCTGGTACATACCAAGTCAATGACTGGTAGTTGGAATATCCTGGTTTAGGGGGTCTGTTGTGAGGTCTGATGAGAGATGTGTGCAAATGCTTTGGAAACTATGGAATACTATACAATGATTTATTTTTTCATTTATAATTGTACTATATAATTAAAGTTATTATGTCTGTTCTTGAGGCAGTCAACTTTTTTACCTATACACTGGAGTTAATGAGTCTTTGGCAAAAATGCTTTGAAAATTCCAAGGTGCCATCGGAAGGTTGGGATGCCATTCTCATTTTCCCTTCAAAGCCCAAGACGTCTTAGAGGCTGCAGAACAAAGGTACCCATTGAGGCTAGGAAAATATGAACTGAATATTCAAAAGGAGCTAAAACTCAGCCTAAAACTGTGTGAAACAATTCAAGCTGAATGCCATTCCCTGGTCTCATTCCCTTTGCTGGTGCAAGGAATGTCCACAGTTCCAGACTGTCTGCCCTGTTCACCCACATTTCCTCTCTGATACCCATTTCCACACTGAGCTTTTCCAGATTCAACCAAGAACATAAGCCTTCCCCACTGACTTCCTCACTCTACCTTCCAGGTGTTTTCTCATGGGTCTACGATATTCATGTAAAGAAAGAATCCAGGCCTTTTGGCCTGAAGACAGGACTTCAGTCCATGCCTGCTCAGCCAATACTCACATCCACAGAATTATGTGTTATGACTCTTTCCTTAGAAGCAAAGATAAAGTGATTAATACAGTTATCTTCAGCCTCCATTACCCTTGCCTACCTTCAACCCCTGCCCCCCCAAAAAAAGTTGACGGAATCTCAAGCTGCTGGGAATACTTATTTATTTGGTCTATTAACACCAAGATCTGCAAAAAAACAACCTCTAAACACAGGATAAGAAAACTTGAACATTAACATTCTTCTTCAATTTTTGTGTAAGCTCTGCAGTACGGAAAATATACAAACTTCAAACAGCTGCAAAAATAGTGTCTTTGGGAGAAAATAGTTTCTACATCGATAACAAGAAAAATAGGCATTTTTCTAATCCTCCCCAGACCTGGGGCAGGTGGAGAGTGTCGAGTCGCCACTTGCCACCTGAAGGAGCGCCAGCTCTCCCTCTTCCCCACTACCCACCTGGGGCTGGGCAGGTCGGGCTGCTGCTTAAGACAATCTTTAGTCAGGGTGAAAGCGAGATGAAAATGCGACTTGGGAAAACTCTTGGTCCCCCCCACGCCCAGCAGCTGAATTGGTCAAGTGTTAGGGCCCTTTAGGGCTGCTTTGGTCAGCATCTCCACTGAGAGGGAGCCATGGAGATGGGGCTCAGGACGGGTAGTTACCTTCTCATCTCCTCTGTGTGTGAACAAGGAGAGAGAAGGAGGTCTATGGCATCTCTCTCCTTCAGTCACGGCCAGCTTGCTCTATGACAAGGGTTGGGGCCTCGTATACAGTCCTTTGGACTCACATTTAGGAGGGGAGACCCAAGACCTTCCAGGTTAGTTCTCCACCCAGATGAGGGTGGTGGCAGGGACACCGGTGTAGCTGTGATGAGCTGTCCAGCTGCTAGTGGAGAAGGCAGGCCCCCTCACATTAGGAGGGGCAAGTGTTTGCCAAAAAAAGGACCCAGGGCTTTGACACAATAAATGAAAGTGCTCAAAGGCCGAGAAGGAAGGGTTTCTCCACCCCCATCTCAGAGGGGCTAAGGAGGAGCCTGCCACCAAGGCACTGGTCACCATGGTACAGTGGTGGGGGTGCGTCCCTCAGACCACCAGGGAGCTCTGGAAAAGCACAGGCTCATCTGATGGTGGGGTGCGCTGCCATGGTTCAGATGGCAGCGGAGAGGTCTTAGGGGCCTCAGGATCCTTCCGAGCAGGTGGCCTGGGGCTGGTCGGAGGGAGAGGTGACCCCGGACTTGAGGGGCAGTTACGGAAGATGAAGCCCATGCTGGGGAAGAGAGGCTTCATCAAGTTGACAGGGCAGAAGGCTGAGCCAGTCGGGTTGAAATGGACTTTGTTCTTGTCAGGACAGGAGGTCAGGAAGGTCAGGTCAGGACCTGGGGACCTGGAGGACGGGAAGAGAGAAACACATAGGAACAGCCAGTGAGAAAGGCTGAGTGACTCTGCAGTGTTATGAGTAGGGAGCCAGGGCCTTGTACAAATGAGATGGCAATTACCAAAACATGAAAGGCTACTGGGCAATCAATAGTCATAGAAGCCCCTTAGTTCTCCATTTTTCAGAAGTACTGCTGAACAATGGGAAATATACTTGTTAGAAGCAGGAGGGATTGAAGCTAAAAAGGAAGGAAAACTTCCTGACAATGTGACTCTAAAATACACCAAAGGAGGTTTTTTGAGAGATTTCTTCGGTGAGGGTTATTTTGGAAGCAGACCTCTTACCTGAAAGCAGCAACCAGGACAGGGTAACTCTTCATAGCCTAAAGCAGGGTGTCTCAATTTCAGCATTCTGACATTTTGGGCTGGATCCTGACTTGCTTTGGGGTAGGGGGGTGGTGTTTAAACATCTCTGCTCCTTGGACATGAGCTATCAGTAGCACCCTTTTCCACTCTCCAGTTCTAACAACCAAAAATGTGTGCAGACATTGCAAAATGTCTCCTGAGGGCAAAACTGTTCCCTGTTGAACCACTAGCCTGAACAATACATTTCTTGAGCACCTTGGGAAGGTGTGACTTTCAAAATTTGTGTTGGGAGGGAAGAATTGCAACAGCTGGGGGAAGGGAGCTCTGGATTCCGAGTAGGTTTCAGCCTTATCAGTCTCACCTGTGTTGTAGAAAGAATCATTCTTACTATTCTGACCACTTACAGAAAGCAGTAGGGTGAAATGAGGCCATACCCGAGAATTCTAGCAACTCTAGTGACCAAAGAGTCAGCAGTTCAAACCCACCATTAACTGCACAGCAAAAGATGTGGCAGTCCTTTCCCACAAAGATTACA